GCTTGTGCCCTGACTGGGAATAGAACTGTGACCTCCTGATCCATAGATCAACACCCAACCACTGAGCCACACCAGCGGAGCCCATTCTGTTTTCCAACATTGCTTCAGCCTTTCGCAAGCCATCAGGAATGCACACAGATTTCCATTTCTCCATCCCTTTGACAACATTTGCTCTGGTCTGCCTTTTTCACTTTAGGCATCTCAGTGGGTATGGAGTGATATTTCATTCGAGTTTGGTTCCCAATTCCCCAATGACTAATGAAGTTGAGCATCTTTCTTTTTTTTTATTTCTTTTTTTTAATATAATTTATTGATTTTTTACAGAGAGTTAGGGAGAGGGACAGAGAGTTAGAAACATCAATGGGAGAGAAACATCGGCCAGCTGCCTCTTGCACACCCCCTACCGGGGATGCTCCCGTAACCAATGTACATGCCCTCGACCGGAATCCAACCCGGAACTCTTCAGTCTGCAGGCCGATGCTCTATCCACTGAGCCAAACCGGCTTTGGCAAGCATCTTTCTTGTGTGCTTGATCATTTGTGTGTGTCTTTGGAAAATGTCTATTTAAATCTTCTGCCCACTTTTTAACCGAGTTATTTGTCTTTCTGTTGTTGAACTGTACGAGTTCTTCATGTATCCTGGACACAAGTCTGTATCACACACGTGCTTTCTCCCAGGCTGTGGGTTGTCTTTTCATTTTCCTGATGGTGTCCTTTGAAGCACAAACGTTTTTCATTTTGATGAAGACCAATTTATCGTTTACTGTTTACCCAGTTTTCTTTTGTAACTTGTGCTGCCGGTGTCATACCTAAGAAACCATTGCCTACTCCGAAGTCACAAGGATTATACGTGTGCTTTTTATCAGACTTTTATTATTTTTAGCTCTTACATGGTCTATGACCATCTGGGCTAATTTTTGTAAACGGGATGAGGAAGGGACCAACTTCATTCCTTTGCCTGTGGAAATCCAGAACCTTCTTCCCTTGCCCACTCCCCCAGGTAATTGTCTTGGCACCCTTGCCAAAAACCCATTGAACATAGATGTAAGGCTTATGTCTGGACTCAATTCTATCCCATTGTTGGTTTGTATTTTCTAAGGTTTTGGTTTTTTTCTCCAGCTGTGTTACCAGGTGGCCCATCCCTCCCTAGACAAGAGATGCAGTGACCTCCCAAGCAGACAGCGTTTCTGGGGGGGGGGGGGGGGGGGTCAGGCCTCATCGCAGGTACATCCTCCCGCAGGGTCCAGACCTCCGCCATGGTTTTGCCGGCAGGTGGGGGGTTAGCTGACCAAACCAAGGACCTTCTCTCTCTCCTGCCTCCTAAGGTTACTGTCAACATCAGGTTAGATTACTTACATAAAAGAATTTGGGAAGGTCTGAAGTGCCATCCAAATGTAAGGTGTATTCTTCTCATCATGGTGCCTCTCCATCAGGAACAACACCTAAGTATCGAGAAGTCACTTTGCATTTTCACTCACTGGGATCAAGGATGTGATGTCTGTGTTGTTGCAAACCCCAAATTAGTGAGGTTTGGTGTTTCATATCCTTTCTTAAGAGGCTGGGAGCTTGCCCTTGCCACCGGGAGATGGAATATCAGTGCTGGCCATCCCTTCCTTCCACACCCTCTTCCTTGAAGGAGGGCCTAGTTAGTGCCAGGCGCTGTGCTAAGCTCACAGGCAGGCACCTCTATCCTCCGAACTCACAGGTTAGCACAGCAGGGAAGCTGTACAATTCAACACGACCATGATGGAGATGCAGGGTGACTCCCAACCAGCCCCGGTATCAGTTTGCTCCAGGTAAAACAGGGGGTTTAGAAAAGGTGACCAGACGTCCCATTTTTGGCGGGACAGTCCCGATTTTTAACAATTTGTCCCGCTTCCCACGGCGTTTTTAAAAAGTCCCTATTTTTTTTTTTTTTTTTGAAAGATTGGAAAGATTCTTTCCAAAAATCAAGACTTTTTAAAAATGCCGCGGGACTCGGGACAAATTGTTAAAAATCGGGACTGTCCCGCCAAAAGCAGGACGCCTGGTCACCTTAGGTTTATCTTCCAACCTCAAATTGCCTTTGCTCCTATGAAATCTCAAGGAGGCAGAGGCTGTCCCATGCTGAACTCGGGCCCTGACCCACATGTTCTGAAGCGACTGTCACAGTGCCACACCGTTAGGCCTGAGAACGGGCATGCAGGACCGAACATGGGCCCCACCATCCTCCCAGGCTCAGCTCTTGGGAGCTTGTCTGGGGCGCGGCCCCAGCTGAAATCTCCTCCATCTGCCTTCTGCACCGCTCCTTCCCTGATAGTGGAGAAGGGCTCCCTGGTTACAAGCTAAACCTCAGACTCTTCTTCCCCTCTACCAATCCCCCGGCTCTGGCCCCCCGGGACCACTCCTCCAGGGCCTCCCTCTCAGAAGACAGAAGTTCACGTGCATGGATGACCCTTTGCCTTCAAGCCTGGAAAACCAAGCTGCCGGGACCACTTGAGAGCTGGGAGGCTCCAAGGAGAAGAGCTGGGCCACTGCCTTCCCCTCAGCCTGGTCCTCACCCCCACCAGGGCCACTCTGATCACGGGTGTCCACTGGGCCAGCACTGACCTACACTGTTGTCCCCTGGAGAGGGAAAAGCCACAGGATCCCAGCTTTCCTCTCCCCCCTCCACTGTGGTTACTGGCCACACCCTGCCTTCCCCACGCCTAGAGCTGGGCAGCCACTTCCCTCTCACGCCCACCTTCCTCCCCACTCCTATCCCGTCCTCGACACACTTCTCCCGGGTACCATGTCACCTGACAGCTCAGTATGACCTCGGATCTGTCTTCTCAAGTCCTGCAGACTCCTGCACACACTCCGTATGGCGAGCATGACACGTGAGCCCTCGTGTCCCTCAGAGTCCCGGGGTCCACACCACCTACAGGTGCCCAGGACTCAAGAGGCTCCCCAAGGCCCCAGGCAGCGCATGGACTAGGCACTCCCAGCAGCTGTCCCTGGCTCCTTCTCCGACCCGTCTGCCCAGCCTCCACTTCTGTCACAGACCCCTCCACATCCCTGGGGGGGGGGGGGTCTGCTGGGGCGCAGGGTCCTCCCACCTATGGGGACTGACGCCATGGTGCTAGGCGCTAGGGAAGAGGCCCCCTGGCCTCCACTTCCACCTCAAAAGCTCCTCCCTTCCCTCTGCTTGCCCCTTAAAGGGACACTGGCTGAGCCAGGGGAAGACTGGTGTCGAGTGTGGTGACGAGGTGACGAGGTGTCGAGGGGAAAGCCACTCAGCCTGAGACTTGGTCTCTTCATCTGGCCAGCCGGGGGCTGTTCTTCCGCTAGGCTCCTCTTTGTAGCGATCAAAGGCTGCCCGTCTGGGATGGCTTCTGCAGGAAGCTGTAACCCCAACAGAAAGAGGCAGGTGTGCCCACGCCCCTGTGCCTCTACCTGTTGTGGGGTGGAACCCTGGGTTCGAAATAAGACCACCGGAGGCTGATGATTAATTAAAAAGCAGGCAAAGATGTATTGAAATATCTGGCCAGGACAGCAGCGAGAGCACCACACACAGGTGGTCTCCACATGACTGCACCGTTTCAGGGGCAGGCAGTCCCTCTTAAAGGTTCAAACCACAGGAATTTTCCTTTGTTCTACATTCTAAATCTTAAAGACTACATTCTAAAGACTGGGGTCAGCCCAGCAGGGTTGCTGCTAGTCACATCCTGCTGGACAGTGGAATGTGGCCCCATCTTGCGATAGCCGATAACACAGAAGCAGAGCTCAGAGGTTATCTACAGTTTCTATCTCTGAAGGTCACTGAGTTAGTGGGAATTACTCTCCTGTGCTCTTGGTCCCAGGCAAGGGAAAACTGCCTTAGCCTCCAGGTCTCCACCTGAAAGCTCAGGTAAATATTCCCCCCCTTGTTTATTCAGGTGCAAGAGCCAAACTAGAAGAGTTAAAATTCAAACAGCAGTTTTTACCTGAGGTGTATATTCTTAATGTCTTATTTCACTGCCCTCCTCCCAGGACAGCCCCTCCATTCTTCCCCCTGTCCCACCAGCCCCACACCCAGGCCCCAGGTGTGTGTGTGTGTGTTGTTGTTGTTTTTTTGTTTTTTTTGTTTTTTTGGGGGGGTAGGGCTCTGAACATCTTTGCAGCACCCCAGGTGCCTGCCAAAGCCTAACCTCTCCCCCCCACCCACATGAACCCCCTCCCTTCCCCCCTCCCTACACACACACACACACACACACACACACACACACACACACACGAGAGGGCAGGGCGGGGTGAGAGGGCAGGACAGGGAAGGGCCAGCTCCTGGTAACTGGACCCTTGTCCTAACCCAGCCAATCAGGTCAGTCAAGATAGTGGCACCACCCCCCCCCTATAAAACCCATTGATATGTTCAATTCTTTCTCTCCCCCACCACACCGTGGCCGTGGCCGGTGTAAGTGGGACCGAGCTCAGACTAGTCCGAAATAAATACAGGCTTTCTGCAATTGCATCGGATTCGGCTCCCTGGTAGTCTTTGGGGTTTATGACACTTGGGCACAACAACACACGTGCGGCCTGCTGAAGGAGGCAGCCAGCCGGGTGCCTGGTCAGTGGCCTGTCCCTGCTGCTTCACCTTGTGTGTCCCTGGGAGTCCAGGAGGCCTGGCTTAGGCCGGGAGGCCAAGCGGCAGACACCGCGGGGCTCAGGGCCGCACAGAGGCTGTGAGTCTGTGCTGGGCAGGAGGAGGGGACTGGGGCGCAGGCTGGGTGTCCCCTCCTCAGAGGTGTGCGTGCTGGGGGGGGCAGCGGGGCCCTGCGAACATCCCGGGCAGGATTCTGACCTCTGCCCCCTCCGCACCCGGGGCCGGGCCGCCGGGGCCCCTCCCCAGGCCGGCGCCCCTGCCCGCCGGTCCCCGCCCCGCTCCCTTAGGCCCGCGGCCGGCGCTCGGCCGGGGAGGAAGCGCGCGGGGCGGGGAGGCCGGCGGGGGTGTGTCGGAAGGCGGCGGCCGCGGGGTTTTATAATCCGCCGAGCCGGCGGCGGGAGCACCGCGCACCGCGCCATGGGGCCCGCGCCGGGCCGCCCGGGGCCGCCGCCGCCGCTGCTGCCGCCGCTGCTGCTGCTGCTGCTGCTGCCGCCGCCGCCGCCCCCCGCGCTGGCGCTCGACCCCGACATGGAGCCCGGAGACTTCTCCGCGGACGAGGCGGGGGCGCAGCGCTTCGTGCAGAGCTTCAACCCCAAGGCCGAGCAGGTGCTGTACCAGAGCTCGCTGGCCAGCTGGGCGTTCGACACCAACATCACCGAGGAGAACGCGCGGCGCCAGGTGGGCGCGGGGCGGGGGGCGGGGCGGGGCCCGGGCGCCCAATCACAGCCCCGCGGCGGGGTGGGGGGCGGGCAGTCCCCGCGGGGCGCGCGCCCCGGACCCCGGGCCCTCCGCCCCCGCCCCCACCCCCGCCCCATCAGACAAGAGGCGGGCGCCGGGCACGGTGCTGGGCACATGGTCCGTGCCAGGCAGGATCGGGACGGATGAGGCCGGCTGCACGGAGACCTACTCCGCTCCAGGGCAGCGCCGGGGCGGGTCAGCAGCTTGGGGTCTCCGCTAAGGGCGCCCTCTGCTCCGATCGCTGCTTTTCTCCGCTTGTTTCTGTCCCCGCTCATCCCGGTCCGTTCTCCCTCTCCTCCCCCTACCTCTCTTGCCCCAATGTCTGCTCCACGCTCCCCTGGGGCAGAGGCCCCAGTTCCTGGCCCCAGGGCCCAGGGGGAGAAAGTCCTGTTCTCGGAGCCCTTGGCCTTCCTGCCCTCCCCCACATGCATCCCCCCCCCCATCCCGTCTTCACTCACTCCCCAGCCCTCGCTGTGCTCGCAGGAGGAAGCCACCCTGCTCAACCAAGAGTTTGCCGAGGTCTGGGGCAAAAAGGCCAAGAAACTGTTCGACCCAATCTGGCAGAACTTCACGGACCCAATCCTGCGCAGGGTCCTCGGCGGCGTGCGCATTCTGGGCCCCGCCAACCTGCCCCTGAAGAAGCGGCAGCAGGTGGGCGCCGTGGCCGTGAGGGCGGAGGAAGCAGTGGCTGCCGCCTCCCAGCGGCCAGCGAGGCCGCGGAGGGGAGCTTGGGAGGGCTGCTGTTAGTGGCCCGATCCCCTGGGATCTGCAGAGAAAGCCACAAAGGCATAGAGTGGCTTCCTGCAGCATTGCTTTCCCTTGGAGATGGGACAGACAGTTACTTAAAGTTACTTTACGCTACAGCAAGTATTGTGGGGTAGAAAGCCCTAAAAGATGAAACAAGAGCCTTCAGAGTTCCCCCATAGGCAGGGTGGGTGTGTGGATGTCCTTAGGAAGAGGGAGGCCTGGGGAGGCCTCGGAGCCGGAGACCGTGAGAGGGGTTTGCCCTCCCTTCGAGGTGGGAACCGACCCCTAATCCCGGGACATTTGTCTCCACCTCCAGCCGCTTCCTTTCTTGGTCAGAAGTGCTCCCGGCGCCACTGAGTGGCCTGAACAAGCCACATCCCCTCTCTGGGACTTTTTTTTTTTTTTTCCTTTTAGCAAAGAGAGGAGGGACAGCCAGTGGTCCTGGGGCCATCCGTCACTAACAGGTTCTCAACTCTCCCCAGTACAACTCGCTGCAAATCCACATGAACAGGGTCTTCACCTCGGCCAGGGTCTGCTACCCCAACATGAACGAGAGCTGCTGGTTCCTGGACCCAGGTACAGCCCCGTCGCTGCTGTCGCTCTCGCCCTTCCCGTCACCCCACACCCTGGTGGGGTGCTTGCTTCACAGAGCTCCCAGCCTGCTGCCCCCCAGCGGATAGAGTGCCCTTGGCCTTGGGGGTATCGTGATGCTGAGGAGGCAGGTGGACATGGAGCTCTGGCGAAGGCTGACGCCGACCTCATCGCAAAAGTCTCCTACCAGGACATGCCTCTTTGTGTCTCAGACCTCATGCACATCATGTCTGCCACGCGGAACTACGGGCTGCTGCTGTACGTCTGGGAGGGCTGGCACAATGCCGTGGGCATCCCGCTGAGGCCCCTGTTCCAGGAATTCACTGCCCTCAGCAATGAGGGCTTCCAGGGAGATGGTGAGCACGCCCCGCCCGCCTCCCTCCCCCCCACCCCCCGGTGTGGGTGCCACCCTCCCCAGCTTGAAAGGTGCTCTCCCACCCACTGTCTCCACGGAGCCCAGCTCCCGAGGCAGGCAGAGCAGCTGGTGGGCTGGCTCCATCCACTGGCCAAAGGCTGCACAGATCGTGGATGGCAGAACCAATCTGCCTTCTACCAGACTACTGCTGTCTTGCCCTGACACCATCCCTCCTCCCTGCCCCTCCTGGCACTCCTCCCCTCCCTAGCATGCGTCCTTGCCTCTCGGCGCTCCGGGATCTAGTCAGCTGGAGTTCAACCCCCTGGTTAGAAAGTTATAGGCCGGCATCCTCAAACCAGCCTTTCCCCGGCTGGCAGGCGCACAAGCCCTGAGCCAGGAGAGGGGGATGCTGGGAGGCGGAGGGTCAGAGCCTCAGGCCTGAGCCGCACCCCACCCCCACCCCCCGCCAGGCTTCGCAGACACAGGGGACTACTGGCGCTCCTGGTATGAGTCGCCCACCTTCGTGGAGGACTTGGAGAGCCTCTTCCATCGAATTGAGCCCCTCTACCTGAACCTCCATGCCTACGTCCGCCGCAAGCTGCACCGGCGCTACGGGGACAGATACATCAACCTCAGGGGGCCCATCCCCGCTCACCTGCTGGGTAAGGACCTGGCCTGGCGCCCCCACACGCCCCGGGGATTGTCCTCACCGGCTCCCCTGGTGGAGCGCCCCACTGGTCCCTCCCACACGCGTGAGCCCTTGCGGCTTGTCCCACGCTATCATGAAGCAGGAGATCCTCATTATCCTCCTGCTTTTCGGATGGGGACCTGAGGCTCACTCGGGGCACATGAGTGACTTGGCAGAGGGCAGAGGGCTGGTCAGAGGCAGAGCCAGGAGACACGCTGAGGCTTCGACTCCGGGGGGAGGAAGAATCATCGTCGTCTCTGCCCCAGGAAGCCTTTCCCGTGGCCCCACCTCAGGCCTGGAAGGCAGGGCTCCCAGCACCATCAGAAAGGGCCCCGCAGCCTTCCCTGGCTCCTGCTTAGCACCCGGGGCGCACCCAGCACTCGGGACTATGCATGGGCCGAGGTGGAGATCCCGGGCCTCAGCCCCGGGGTCCGGCCTCGGGGGGCCCCGGTGCTGCAGGGCCGGGCAGCGGGAGCCAAGCTCTCCGGCTTCCCTCCTTCCTCTAGGGGACATGTGGGCCCAGAGCTGGGACAACATCTACGACATGGTGGTGCCTTTCCCTGACAAGCCCAGCCTGGACATCACCAGTAAGATGGTGCAGAAGGTGAGGCGGGTGGGCCAGGGTGGAAGGGAGACAGGGGAGAGGGGCCAGAAGGGGTCTCGTGCAGGAGACAGGTTGGTAGGCACCCGGTCCCTCCCTTTCTACAGAGCAGCAGCCTGGAGTGCGTGTACCAGCGAGGAGCTGGGCTCAATGTCCCCGGGAGGGGCCAGCCCCTCTCCCCGGGCCCCCACAGGCGGGATGTGAGGAGTCCACTTTCCCATCTGCTCTGGTTGTCAGGGGCAATGCCTTCTGGGGAAAGAGGCCGCAGAGCAGACACACCCTCCACGGGCAGGGAGCTGGCCTGGGTGGGCGACTCCAGACCCGCCCCGGGGCAGCCGCCGTGAGCTCCCGGCAGCCGGCCCCTGACCTGCCCCCGCCTCCACCCCCACCCCCACCCCAGGGCTGGAACGCCACACACATGTTCCGGGTGGCAGAGGAGTTCTTCACCTCCCTGGGGCTGCTGCCCATGCCTCCGGAGTTCTGGGCAGAGTCCATGCTGGAGAACCCCAACGACGGGCGTGAGATAGTGTGCCACGCCTCCGCCTGGGACTTCTACAACAGGAAGGACTTCAGGTCTGGCCGCGGGCAGGAGGGTGCTGGGGCTTCGGGACCGGCAGGCAGCCTGGGCACAGAGGACCCCGTTCCCAGGCCCACCTCTGCCCCAGGCCCAGCTCTGGCAGAGGGGCCTGTCTAGGCCAGGGCTGCCATGGGGCCGCCCCCCTAGCAGCTTTCCCGGTTAGCCAACGCTGCACCCTGGGATGAGGTGGGCCAGGGCAGGGCCAAGCATCTGTATGTTCCCACCAGCGACACACAGGGCAGCCCTCTTCCCACGCTCTGGGCCCTGCCCTGCCCTGCCCTGCCCTTCACCCTCCCCCGCCCCCTCCTCCCCCCCAGGATCAAACAGTGCACGCGGGTCGCCATGGAGCAGCTGTCCACCGTGCACCACGAGATGGGCCACATCCAGTACTACCTGCAGTACAAGGACCAGCCTGTCTCCCTGCGCCAAGGGGCCAACCCTGGCTTCCACGAGGCCATCGGGGACGTGCTGGCGCTCTCTGTCTCCACGCCTGCACATCTGCACAAAATCGGCCTGCTGGACCAAGTCGTCAATGACACGGGTATGGGGGCGTCGAGGACCCAGCCAGCCCCACCCAAACGTCCACAGCAGGACTCCGCTGGCGCCTGCTCCCAATGGCCCTTCTCATTTCCGCTGCGTTGCTCAGGGCGGACAGGTTTGGGGGTCCATCTGAGGCCCAGCTCAGCCCTGCCCAACAGGGCCCCATCGCTTCTCTGCATCGGCCCAGCCACCCCTCCCCCTGGCCGCTCCCCAGCCCCGCCTGATCCTCGCCAGACTCCCTTTTCTCCTCTGACCTCTCTCTTCCCATCCTCCAACAGAAAACGACATCAATTTCTTGCTGAAGATGGCGCTAGAGAAGATCGCCTTCCTGCCCTTCGGCTACCTGGTGGACCAGTGGCGCTGGGCCGTCTTCAGCGGCCGCACCTCCCCTTCCCGCTACAACTTCGACTGGTGGTATCTCCGGTGAGTACATGGGGACCCGGAAGGGCCTGGTGGCTGCCCCTCCTGGGCAAGCAGGAGCCTCCTGCCTCCGTCAGTCCCCGTCCCCTCCTCTCTAATGACGTCTCCTTCCTTTCCCCACCGCCTTCTTCCCGCCCAGAACTCCCTCCGCCAGGAGCCCTTCCTCCCCAGCTCATCCAATGGGGAAAGGGTGGCAGGTGGGAATGCCTGCTTAGCAGCCTTTGCTGCAAAGGCGGAATCAGTCATATGCCTCACTGAGGTCCACCGTTTTCTTCTAGAGTCAAGTATCAGGGCATCTGTGCTCCAGTTATCCGAAATGAAACCCACTTCGATGCCGGAGCCAAATATCACATCCCAAACATGACACCGTACATCAGGTACTGTTGCCCCATCCAGTTCTGTCCCACCCTTCGCTCCCTTCTCCCTCCTCCTGGGGTGCTGGCCCCACCCCATGCCCAGGGCTTGTCCCCACATTCTCCCCTGGAATTCAAGTGGAGCCAGGCTTGGTTCTCCCTTCTCCTCAGGTGGCCCCTGACTACCCTCTGCCCTGGGGAAAGCTGGATGGTGCCCGGGCAAGGGGCCCTCGCCAGCCCCCCTTAACACCCACCCTGTGCCTTCAGGTACTTTGTGAGTTTTATCCTGCAGTTCCAGTTCCATCAAGCCCTGTGCAAGGAGGCAGGCCACCAGGGCCCACTGCACCAGTGTGACATCTACCAGTCCACCAAGGCAGGGGACAAGCTCCGGTGTGTGGGAGGAACTGGAGGGCGAGTGGGAGGGTTAAGGGAGAGGCTGGGGAAGACTATGTCTGGGAGGCAACTGGCTGCTCCCCGGGACCCCACAGGGCCAGCCTGATTGGGGGGCGCCTTTCTTTCTACCCCCTGCTTTCTTCCTCTCACCCAATGGCCATGTGCCCAGCCCCCTTCATGGAGATCCTGGGCCCCAGGGTCTTGATGCCACTGTTCCTGCAGTCCTGGGGGGTGAGGGGTGGGCAGACATGGCCGGAGGTAGGGCAGGTGGGCCAATAGTGGCCTCTGGCCTGAGTCCCTGGTGCCCGTGGGGCCCGTTCTGCCCGTCAGGGAGGTGATGCGGGTGGGCTCCTCGCGGCCCTGGCAGGAGGTGCTGAAGGAAGCCATCGGCACAGATGCCCTGGATGCGCAGCCGCTGCTCAGCTACTTCCAGCCCATCAGCCAGTGGCTACAGGAGGAGAACCAGCGGAACGGCGAGGTCCTCGGCTGGCCGGAGTATCAGTGGCAGCCTCCGCTGCCCAACAATTACCCACTCAACATCGGTAAAGCTCTGAGTGAGAGAGGGGCAGACCTTAGCACACATTCTCAAGTCTGGGCTCTGGAGCCCAGGCCCCCGTCCCAGTTCCTGGCCAGCTCCCCCCGCTGGGCCCTGGTGCCCAGCTCTGGAGGGCCAGGCAGCCCCTTTCCTCCTCAGTAGAACCCTGGGGTGGGAATGGGGCTGTCTTTTCCCCAGCATTCTAGAGAGGGTGTTCCCACCTCTAGGGTCCCCCAGGGGCAGGCGGACGCATCACACTGCTCTGTGAGGTCACACTGCAGGTTCCGCTCTCATTGGCCGGGGGCGGTGGCTGCAGGGCTCCGGTCTCCTGCGGCCATGGGCCAAGGTTGGGCTGGTCCAGGACTGCCCAGCCTCCTCTTCCTCTTCTTGCTCTGCTTTGGGCACCCCCTGCTGGTGGTCCTCAGTCAGGAGGTCACCCAGGGGACAACCAACCATGGGACAACCAGAATCCAGACAACTCACCAGGCAGCAACCAGCAGCCAGACAATCCCAAGCCCAAGCGGGACCAGTGGGTGGACGGGGCAGGGCCTTGAGGGGGCGAGGAGGAGGGGGCAGGGAGGAGGGAGGCTGGGGAGCGGCTCAGCACAACCACAGGAGAGGGCCAGGGGAAGCCTGGCTGTCCCCCTCCGCTCTGTCCCGCAGTCATGGTGACCGATGAAGTGACGGCCAGAAGCTATTTGGAGGAATATGACAAGAAGTCCCAGGTGGTGTGGAATGAGTATGCGGAGGCCAACTGGAACTACAACACCAACATCAGCAGAGAGACCAGCATGATCCTGGTAGGGGCCCACTCCACACCCACACTGGTGTGCGGGGTCTGGCCTTCCCAAACCCAAGGCAGTCCAGCACCCCCCTCCCCCGGGCTCCTCATTGCAGGGGGGCTGCTGGAATTGGTGAAAAACCCAGATGGAATATGTAGAACAATACTCACGTTCAGGTTTGGATGGGCCTCTACTCAACGCCTAAACAAGTGGTAGCTCCTTACCCATCTGTTGTTAGTGAAAGAATGATTTGTACGCCAGTAAGGGATGCTCAAGTCAGTTTTCTAAAAGATAAAAAGCCCCTGTGTGCCACCACAGCCAGGGCTCCCCTCCCCTCCAACCGCCTTCCCGACCTGCGTGGGGAGTGCAGGTTATACCCAGGCGAGCCGCCGAGAACCAGCACTTCTTCAAGATCACAGTGAGCCGGCCAGGGCTCCGTGCCCCTCACACCCGTGGCTCCATTTATTCCTCAACTGCTCTGCGAACCAATGATCTCATTCCCAGTCCCAGCGCTCATACCAAGCTGCCTTCATCCTAACAGCCTTTCCGATATGGGGTGGGGCTCCCCTTCTCTCCCCTGCCAGGATATTAGGTCTAGTAATAATTAATGTCGTTTTCTAATACTTTTTTTAAAATCAAATATATTTAAATAATACAACAAAATTTAATCAACAATATAGTTGCCGTTGTTTTCTACTACTTGTGCCCAACGCCCAGGAAGCATTTTAATCCCTCTGTTGTAAAATTCTTGTGATTTTGATGCAAAAAATTCGGTCAATGCATTTTTGAGGCATTCTTCATTATTAAATTTTTTTCCAAGAAGAAAGTTTTGCAAAGAACAAAACAAATGGTAATCGGAAAGGGCAATATCAGGAGAATATGCAGGTTGAGGGAGAACTTCCCATTCCAACTGGCGCAGTTTTTCAGCAGTGATTCTTGCAGTAGGCGGTCGTGCGTTATCATGGTGAAGAATTACGCCCTTCCGATTAATCAGCGCGGGTTCTTTTTCTCTTAAAGCTTGGGCTAACCTTTCCAATTGGGCACTATACACTGCACTTGTAATGGTTTGGTTAGATGGTAAAAGTTCATAATGAAGAATTCCTTTAAAATTCCACCAAACACACAACATCACTCTTTTCGCATGCAAGTCAGGTTTTGGCGTGGGCTGCGGAGCCTCATTTTTGTCCAACCATTGAGGCCGCCTTTTCAAATTAACATACAGCACCCATTTTTCATCTCTGGTAACAATTTGCTCTAAAAACGGCAAACGGTTTTGACGAGAGAGGAGCGAACTGCAAATTGTGACTCTTTGATTACGGTTATTGTCGGTCAACTCATGAGGAACCCATTTTCCAAACTTTTGGACTTTGCCAAGTGCACGCAATTGATTGGAAATTGTTTTTTGTGAACAATTTAAAGTTGTCGCAAGCTCTTGTTGGGTAATTTGAGGATTTTGCACCAAAAGAGCTTGAAGAGCTTCTTGATCAAAATTGGACACACGGCCTCGACCACTCGTGTCATCTAACGAAAAATTTCCCTCGCGAAATTTCTCAAACCAACGCTGGCATTTTCTGGCGCTAACTGCATCTTAACCAAGAGCACTACAGATGTTTTTTGCAGCCTCACTTGCTTTTCTTCCTAATTGGAACTCGTAAAGCATGCAGTGCCGAATATGCTCTTCATCCGCCATCTTCTTAGCCCTAGTTTTGCAACAAAAACCAAACCAAACACAAACTTTTTCAAGCAAAACTTGTTAATTGCACTTCACACATTCTGTAGATACCACGTGTTTGAAGGTTATGTCAATACAAGTCAAACCCAAGCAAGATTTTAAACGAATGTTTAAAAACGACATTAATTATCACTAGACCCGATATGTCCGTGGGCATCTGTTGAGGGGTGTGGACTGCATCTAGTGCAGGTCGGAGAGGGTCTGAGTAGGCAAAGGCAACAACTTGATAAAACTGCCTCCCCCAGCCCCTCAGGCTGCCCCTCCACAGCCCAGTCCTCCCTGTCCCTTCAGATGGAGAAGAACACGCAGATGGCAAACCACACGGTGGAGTATGGCTCCCGGGCCAGGCTTTTTGACATTACCTACTTCCAAAACGCCACCCTAAAGCGGATGATACACAAGATTCAGGACCTAGAACGGGCAGCGCTGCCTACCGCGGAGCTGGAGGAGGTAGGTGGCTTGGGGAGGTGCGGGGGGTGGGGGGGGAGGATAGGGAGAGGGCAGGGAGTGGAGGGTCCAAGGTCAGGACCAGGTCCCAGCTCAGAGTGAGCCTAGTATAGGGTCTGGCCTTCATGCTGCCGCCTCTTCCTGGATTTGTCAAACCGTCCCATCTGCCTTGTGAGTGCGCCTACAGAGTAACTGAGAAGATAGCGCCTTAGGACCAGGTGCCCGCAGGTCCTTAGCGGCCCCCCACCCCCCCCACACACACACACATACACACTGTGATGGTGCCCGGGGCGCAGGCAGCAAAGGGGTGCAGCTTGCTGCCTCTCTTCTTCCTCCTGCAGTACAACCAGATCCTGCTGAACATGGAAACCACCTACAGCGTGGCCTCCGTGTGCCTCCCGAACGGCACTTGTCTGCAGCTGGAGCCGAGTGAGCGCACGTGGGGAAGGAGGGGGTGGGTGGGGAGCTGGGGTTGGCACAGTGTTGGGGGTGCTGGCCCGTGAAAAGGTGTTTAGTGTTCCTATCCCATGGGGTCAGCACGCCCAGGAAACTCACCTCCCTGTTTCCCACCAGGTGGGCCTCCCTGCCACCTCTCAGACCCAGCACGACTTCCTCTCTGTCCTAAGCCACCGCCTTGCCCACCCACACGCTCCCCCCAGGCCGCCAGGCCAGGGCCCCTCCGGGGTCTCCTTCCCCTCCCTGCTCTCTGCACTCCCAGCAGAGAATCTCTCAAATCTGTCTTCCCAGGACTCGGACTCCCAAATCAGAACAGGGATGCTAGTCACCTCCCCTTCCTGATCCTCTGGATCCTTTCCACGGCTTCCCCACCTTCTCTGGCACCCCCCTGCCCGCCTCCCCCCAAACTGACGCCACAACCCAGGCTGTCCCCACTTCACTCCCTGGACCCACCGCCGCTTCCTGCTGGAAAGGGTGGCCTGGCTGGCGCTTGTCCCTTCTCCCCTTTGGGAGAGCACCCCCTGGACACCCAAGTCCCTACACACAGAAGGACACACCTCTCCCCTCCCGACCCGCCCTCCCAGGCTTGGGGAGAAAAAGGCATAAACATTATTCCTAAGGAATCTCCACCCAGAAACAGTCTCTTCCTGGCCCTCTGCCCAACTCCCACGTTAGAACAATGACAAATAGGAGGGGAAATGGAAAATAAACAGGAGAGAGAAACAGCGTCGGTGGACAGGGTTTGGCCTACGGGTTGTGTATATGGGTAGGCACGCAAAGTGTTGGAGGGGTATGTGCCGTGGGCATGTGTGTGTGTGTGCACACGTGTGATGTGCGTGTGCATGCGTATGTGTGTGCGTGTGTTTACGGAGCAGAGCATTGAAGGGAATGTAGCCCTTGTCCTCCCCACCCCCCATGGACTAACCTCTGAATCCACGGCCAGGTCCTCAGGTCACTGCCATTAGTAAAAACACAAAACATCCTCAAACGCAGAACCCTCACGTCAGCAGAGGGCAGACGAGAAATTCTCCCACTACCATCTTTTCTAAACGAAACGTGGTGTGGACAACCCCACGCGCTGCCCGAAGCGGTCCAGCTCAGGCCAGGCCAGGGAGGAAGGCTGACGTCGGTCTGAGGGGGGCTTCGGAGCTGACCCTCCTGGCTCTGTGACATGGCTGTCAGCTCCATGCAATCCAAGCCACGGAGTCACCGTGGCCTTGACAGGACACACACCCAGACTTCCAGCTCCCTGCTGTTCTTTTATTCGATCCGGCCCGATTACAGTTTTAAAGATGCCCTGAGCCCCACGGAGACACAGGAATGAATGAAGTCACTCCCTGCTCAGGGGCCTCGCATTGATGTTTGGCTCCCCTGGGAGGGCCGGCATTGTCCCCACTTTGCAGCTAGGGAAAGGGTCCCGTGACTAGAGCGAGAACTCAGGTCTTGTGACCCCCAGGCCGGGGCTGAGAGCAGCTCTGAGTCGGGGCCTTTGGATGGTGTCCCGGCTCAGCCACTTCCTGGCTGAGGACCCAGCCATGTCACCGACCGGCTCACATGAAAACAAGCACATTGGAAACCTGCGGTCACCTGGCGTGGTGTCCATGCAGCGCCACGCCCCGGGCCTGGCACCCTGGAGGCCCTGAGAGAGGGCCCCGCCCTACTCCCATGCACTGGCCCTGCCCCCTGAGCAGCTGTATCCCACTCTGAGCTCCTGTGGCTGAGTCCGTCCGCCTTAGAAGGAGGTGGGAGGTGCGCCGAGGGCTGAAGGCTCAAGCCAATGAACACCCCTCCTCCAGATCTGACGAATCTGATGGCCACATCCCGGAAATATGAAGAGCTATTATGGGCGTGGAAGAGCTGGCGAGACAAGGTGGGGAGAGCCATCCTCCCTTTTTTCCCCAAATATGTGGAACTCTCCAACAAGGCTGCCCGGCTCAATGGTGAGTCCCTCCTACCAATATCCCTGGCTTTCTGGTCCCAGCCCCCCTGGGGCCCTGAGAGAGGTCCTCAGAGACCCTAAGCCCAATGAGACAAAGGCCCCTGAGGAGGTGGGGGTGGGGCTCAGGGGGTGGTCAGGTGCCCGAGAGCCCGGCTCTGTCCCCTCTGCAGGCTACGCAGACACAGGGGACTCGTGGCGATCCATGTACGAGATGCCAACTCTGGAGCAAGACCTGGAGAACCTCTTCCAGGAGCTGCAGCCGCTCTACCTGAACCTGCACGCCTACGTGCGCCGGGCGCTGCACCGCCACTACGGGCCCCAGCACATCAACCTGGAGGGCCCCATCCCGGCTCATCTGCTGGGTGAGGGCAGGCGCTGGGCCTTCCGGAGGAGACAAGACATGCCAGGGGGGAGGGGGGGCTGTCCAGCGAGCAGAAGGCAGGCAGGGGAAGGTCTGCGGTGGGCGCTGCAGGCTGGCAGAGCAAAAAGACCTGAGCCTGGAGGGAATGTTGCCAAAGCTGAGTGTGTGTGTGTGTGTGTGTGTGTGTGAGTGCGCGCGCTCGCTTGCCTTTGGTATCATATTTGCTACAGATACACATGGTACAAGTCACATGGGTGAGATAGTTCTTAATCTTGCCACTGGGATCCCATGTCACCCATCACAGCTCAAGGCAGCCTGATACAGAGGGTGAGGAAGGAGCTGAGGGGGAGCTGAGGCCTCACCGAGGTGGGGGAAGGGGTGTGTGTGAGTGCAGCCTTGAAAGATGAGGGGCTCTGACAGGTGGAGAAAGTCGCGGCAGGGAGGCGAAGGTGGACACAGCATTCAGTCTAAGGGAGTTAGGAGACCAGAGGACACTGAAAGTGTAGATCCCTCAGCTGTCGGACCTCCCTTCGGGGGCTGTAAATGCAATGCCCTTACCACACGGAGTAGGCAGTGGAAGACACTCACTGCTTTGTGCTTCAGACTCCACCTCATGTCAGCGCAAGCTTCATCTCTTTTGGCTAGGAACCATTCTGGACCTTTCCACGCATTCTGAATAATCTCCTTTCCTCCAGTCCTCTCGTGTCCTAAGGGCAAAGGCATCAACCTCTCCTGAAGGCGGGTGGGACCGCATAAACCAACCTCAGGCAGCGTGGGGGGGGGGGGGGGACACAGTCGTGGCTGGTCGGGAGTGCAACTGCCTGCCTGCCTGTAAGCCCGAGCCCCTTCGCTTAGGAGCCATGGGCCCTGGGCAGGTTCCTTGCCTCTCAGTAAGTGGTGGCCACATGCATGTAGATGTTCCAAAACTTGTATATCTGTACTCAGTTGCTAGTCACACTGGTCTTCACTGGTCAGGGGACCACCTTGACTCTCTGATGGCAGCAAGGATCTCCCCCATGAGCCAGGAAAGTGGGCTGGGTGTGTGGACTGAAGACCATGTATGTCTGATGCCCAAACAGTAGGAACTCAAGAGATACATTATGATCAGCAGGACTGGCATCTGTTTCCCTCTCCCTGCATGATGGTGCTGAGCCCAAGAAGTAACACCTCTCTCTCCTGTCTCATCCCCTACCCGTTCTTCAGGAAACATGTGGGCCCAGACCTGGTCCAACATCTATGACTTGGTGGTTCCCTTCCCTTCAGCCCCCAGGATGGATGCCACGGAGGCCATGATAAAGCAGGTCTGCCCCTGCCCTCTCTGGACACGCTTGCTCTTCCAGAGGGGCCCCAGGGCACAGAGGCGGGAAGACCCTGTCTTGGGGGGCGGGCCCTTTGAGCCAGTTCCTTGGGCGTGGCCCTCCCTCAGCACTCTCCCCCACTGGGGCACACAGTCTGTTCCCAGTGTGGGCAGCGCTCCCTCGGTTTGCAGGGCTGGACACCCAGAAGGATGTTTGAGGAGGCAAACAATTTCTTCATCTCCTTGGGACTGCTGCCCGTGCCCCCCGACTTCTGGAACAAATCGATGCTGGAGAAGCCAACCGATGGGCGGGAGGTGGTGTGCCATGCCTCCGCCTGGGACTTCTTCAGCGGCAACGACTTCAGGTGTGTCCGAGGGTCTTCCCCCTGAGCCCATGGGCAAGGGGACGAGCCAAGGGAAGGCTCCACTGCGTGCCCTCTCAGTCAGAGCTAGCAGAAACAGGTGCAGAGGCCAGAGTTGAAATGGAAGGTCCAGAGGATGGGGCCTGGCCTCAGCCTGGCCACTGGCTCCTGGCTGTGAGGGCCTTTTCAAATGCCAGCCGGCTCTGCCAGCCTGGTCAGTCGTCAGCACCCACGATCCCAGTCGTGGGTGTGAGCTGCCCAGCCTTCCCTCACTTTGGGGAGGCCCGTGCATACAGATGGCCCTCTCCTTGGGTGCATGCGCCTTGACACAGGGAGACACATGAGGACATGGGTGACTTCTCACAGATCCACATTCCCTGAGGCTCAGGAGCTATCTTCATCAGAGGATGTTTCAATTAGCTGGCGCTCTATAACAAACCACCTCAACACGTAGCAGTATAATACAACAGTTTGATTATTCTTATGATTTCATTGGTCAGGCAGCACAGTGGAAAAGGCTTGTCCCTGCTCTGCATTGCTGGAGACCACAGCGAGGGTAGCTCTGATGGCTGGGGGGCTCCATGAGGCCATCTGCCTGTGGCCTTAATTTTAGCTCTTGGTTTGGGTCTCAGTTTTTCTCCATGTGGCACATGCTGGGGCTGGAATGTTCAAGCTGGCTTTTGTCCTCACACGCTGAGTCGGGATGACGGGGCAGCTGGGGGCTGGCGGGTCATTTCTCTCTCCATGCTAGCTTGGGCTTCCTCACAGTATGGCAGTCAGGCAGTAGGATTTCTTACCCGCATTCCCCAAAGCAGAAGCAGAAACAGCTAGGTCTTTTCACGCTGAAGTCCAAAGCTAGTACAGATTCTATTAGCTAAAGCAAGGCCAACCTAGACTGAAGAGAAGGGAAAGAAGACCCCACTTCTTAGGAGGGAAAGTGGCAAAAACGATCCGTGACGGCAGATGAAGTGTCTCTTACGAGGAACGTGGACACAGAGAGCATTCACAGGATCACTGGCCTTGGCCTTTCCTTCAAAGGCATGAGAAGAGGTGGGAGCGCTTTTAGGAGTTCTCCCTTGTAGGGGAGTCATGGGAGAAGGTGGACAAACCTAAGCCTCATGGACACCAAGATGCTGGGCAGCTCTTCCCCTTCCCAATAGAATGGCAGGGGGGAAATGGGGTCAACTGACCTGAAAGGCTCTGCTTAGATCCAAGTAGAATGAGGATCCAAAAGAGAATGAGGAAAGGTGGAGAGAAAGACGGAACCTCTGGCTTGGATGGCACTGCAGATGTCATTAAAGTCAGAAATATGTTTGCTGGTGTTGGGTACACGAGACACAGAACAGCTCAGACACTGGGAGAGCAAAAACATGTGCACGAGAAATCACAAAAACCACATTCTAGAAAGTCCTACGCTGACCATAAAGGAGTGTCCCAACGCCTCTACAGCGACCACGTTGCACCGCCAGAAAGTAACATGGCCATGTGGGCTGGAATTGTTCACAACAGCTGGAGGCGGAAGAATGTCCTGGATGACTATACTCCAGGGGCTTCCAACCCCCAGATTGCCTCTTTCTCATGTTCACTCCAAGTCTCCTCTTGGCTTTCTTTCCCATAATGCTGTGTTCCCGCTTACAGCAGGCGGTGGGGGTCTGTTTGCAATAAGGACAGCAGGTCCCTTTGCCTCGGGGCTCCTCGCTGTCCCCTTTCACACCCTCTTCCCACCCCCATGTTCCCAGGATCAAGCAGTGCACCACCGTGAGCATGGAGGACCTGGTGGTGGCCCACCACGAGATGGGCCACATACAGTATTTCATGCAGTACAAGCACTTGCCTCTGACCTTCCGGGAGGGCGCCAACCCGGGCTTTCACGAAGCCATCGGGGATGTGCTGGCCCTCTCCGTGTCTACCCCCAAGCACCTACACAGCATCAACCTGATGAACAGCGATGGTGGCAGCTACGGTAAGGGAAGAACAGGAGATCCCCGTGGCCTGAGGGACCAGGAAGGGGCAGGGAGCTTGTGAGGTGGGGAAAGGGGATTGCATGGCCCCTCGGGAGAGGTTGGGACAGGAAGGAAGGCCCCCAGCAGGGTAAGCCAGGAGGATGGAACCCACAGACCATGCCAAGAGGCAGGTCACAGGAGCCAGATAGGTGCAGCTCCCTCCTTCCTCTCCCTGCTTTGCACACCCATCACAGCCGAGCTGCTAGGACATGGCAGGAGGCAGATGAGGTTCTGATCTGGAATCCCTTTCCTTGGCAGAGCAAGACATCAACTTTCTGATGAAGATAGCACTCGACAAGGTCGCCTTCATCCCCTTCAGCTACCTCATTGACCAGTGGCGCTGGAGGGTGTTTGATGGAGGCATCACCAAGGAGAACTACAACCAGGAGTGGTGGAGCCTCAGGTTCTAGAACATTCCTGTGGGGGTGTAGGCTGGGGACGTCTCCATGGGTGTCTGTATGTGCCTGCGTGTCTGTGTATATAGCATCTAAGTGTGCATTTGTGTGTGTATATGTGCACATGGGTCTTTGTGTGTAAGTGATGGAATACGTAGGGGTAGGGGTAATTGTGCACAGAGACGCTGCATGCTGGAGTGTGCAATGCCCAGGGCAGCCCCAGGTGCAGAGACCCTCCTTCAAGTCAAAAATGCCAACCCTCCCTGGCTTGATTCTCCCCATACCCTTTCTCCAATCTGTCTTCTACCTTGACAGGCTGAAGTACCAGGGCCTCTGTCCACCAGTGGCCAGGTCTCAAGACGACTTTGACCCAGGGGCCAAGTTTCACATTCCTTCAAGTGTGCCTTACATCAGGTAACAAGGGGAAGGGAGGAGGCCACTCAGTGTTCAAACTGCTGTCGCTGCCATGTGAGGTCAGGGGGACCTGGGAGACCTGCCTGCACTGGACTGTGTGCCTGAGCCACTCACCTGCAACCAGGGCGCTGACCATTGTTTCATATATATGTGTGTGTGTGTGTGTGTGTGTGTGTGTGTGTGTGTGTGTGTGGAGAGCTTCTACCCTGCACAAAGTTGAAAACAGAAACTCTACTATAACTGGTTAATGGTTACAAGACCTGGGTTGGGTAGTTAACATTATTAGACGTGACCCATGGCTAGATCATGCCCTGAGCACTGTTCCTCTGTTTTGTTTTGTTTTATTTTGTTTTTCTTTTCTTAACAAGATTGTGATTCCCCTACTTTAAATGTTGAACATGTTGCCTGTGGTATAATGTGAGTTGTTCCTGGAAGACCATCTATACACTGAAACTAGGAGTAGAGACTCCGTTAGATGGGGAGGCTGCATTGGTAGAGGCATGGAGTCCTGGGCTTGGAGTCAGACAGAACTGGGTTCAAATCGTGTTTCCACTCTTTTTCTTTTTTCTTTCCTTTCACGTGTTCCTCAGTGTCTACATCATTTCCTCAATTTGTAGCGAAAGTGAACTTCCAAACATACTGTCCAATGCAGAGCAGGCTTGTATGAAACTGCCCTCTGAAGTGACATGTGTGAACCCACTAACGCCATGAGTCTGCCGCAGTCACATGAAGATGTCCAGTGCTGCCCTTTTCCCTCTATGCGTACAGGCTACATGGGGAGCTGCAGGATCTGGAGTCCTCCTGGGAGGCAGGGGTCTGGGGAGGCCTCAGGTGGAGTTCCAGGTGCCCCTGGACTGTATGTAGCACAGGACACCGTGAGGCAAGGCACCGAGGGCTGAGAGGGCTGCCTCAGGAGGGCTGTGCCTCCATCCAGACCTTGCCTCCCATGGCCCCTGGAAGCCCACTGTTGGAGGGCCCACTGCGCCACCTTTCCACCCAAGCACCCAGCATGACATCGGCACCGAGCCAATAAAGAAGGCCTAAATAAGCATGGAGCGGGTGAATTGTGTCCCCCAGGGTCCAGCAAGGGAAAGAGCCTGTTCAGATGCTCTGAGTGGGCAGGGGACTGAGGGAGATTCAAGGACACCTGGGAACAGGCCTGACCTTGGCAATGTGCCAGGATGACCTGTAGGGAGGGCTTCCACCCGCCTTCTCCACTGGTTTCCAGACTTCCAAGCTAGCATTCGCTTTCGCACAGAAGCCAGGCCCACGTGGTGAGCTTCCGAGCTCAGCATAAATAATTCTCCAGGCAGGGCCGGCGAAGGAGACTCATTCCCGATTCTGACCAGCAGCTTTGGCAAAGCGCTTTTAGGAAACACCAGGAAAGTCAGTGGCACATGGCTTGTGCCCAGCATTCAAAGTGGGAGGCCTGTGCTGTTTGTTTGGGACATTCGGAATCCCTGCAGACTCAGAGGTAGCTCCAGCCCTGACCAGCTGCTTTCTACCAGCGACTCTCTGCGGCTTTGGGATCAAGGAGATCACTGGGCCGGCTGCCCTGCTCAGAGCCCTGCCAGATGGGCGTGACCCTTTGGCCAACACCTGGCCTCTACTTGCACCTCCCCCAGGGACAGAGACTGCCCTGACCCTCCTCACCCAGGAGGGAAGGGGCCTGGGTGACTCTGAAGGCCGGGATGGATTCACCCTGACATCCTGGCTGTAGTGGGAGCTGGGGTATCAGGGGCTATGGCACAGGCTCCGCCCCCAGCCACGCCCCCTCCCCTCCAGGTACTTCGTGGGCTTCATCATCCAGTTCCAGTTCCATGAGGCGCTGTGCCAGGCGGCTGGGCACAAGGGCCCCCTGCACCAGTGTGACATCTACCAGTCCAAGGAGGCGGGGAAGCGCCTGGCGTGAGTCTGCCCTAGGTTTCCTGTCGCTGTCCCCTGCCCTCTGACCCCTCAGCCTTCAGGAGCGGGTGGGACGCTTCTGGACACACCTGCCTTTGTGGTGCTTGGGCCGGGAACGCCCAGGTGGAGCCCATGAATGGCGATGAGCCCTCCCCCAAAGGAAGCCAGGGCCTCCTGGGCCCCGGCCACCCCTTGCCCAGCCCTGCTGCGGAGGTGGGGTTAGGGGGCCAGGCTGAGGCAGGAGGGGCAGAGAGCCTCCCCCCCACCCCGGTCCTCTGACTCGGTGTCCCTTCGCTGGCGCTGCCCAGGGACGCCATGAAGCTGGGCTACAGCAAGCCGTGGCCCGAAGCCATGCAGCTGATCACAGGCCAGCCCAACATGTCGGCCTCAGCCATCATGAACTACTTCAAGCCGCTGCTGGACTGGCTCCTCACCGAGAACGGGCGGCACGCGGAGCATCTGGGCTGGCCTCAGTACAACTGGACGCCGGACTCCGGTACCAGCACCCCCTCCTCTGCCCCGGCAGCCCTGCCCCAGCCCCCGCCTACAGCGGCCTAGGGGAGCCGGCCGCCCTGCCCCCTGCCCAGCCCCTACCTCCCCCCCTGCCCTCTGCCTTGCCCACCGCCCTGCTCTCCTTGCTTCTCCTGCCCAGCTCGCAGAGAAGGCTCCTACCCGGGCAATGGCCGAGTCAACTTCCTAGGCCTGAACCTAGAGGAGCAGCAGGCCCGCGTGGGCCAGTGGGTGATGCTCTTCCTGGGCATCACCCTGCTGGTGGCCACCTTGGGCCTCACCCAGCGGCTCTTCAGCATCCGCCACCACACCGTCCACCGGCCCCACCGCGGGCCCCAGTTCGGCTCCGAGGTGGAGCTGAGACATACCTGAGGTGATGACCGGGCCGCGCAGGCCAGCTGGGGAGCATCGGCCATTGAGACACTGGGATAGGGACCTGGGGCGGGCCCCAAACCCCCCACTCTCACCGCTCACCCCAGCCCTCCCTCCCCCTCCTGCCCCGACCCTCCTCCCCTTCTGCCTCCAGTTCTGCGCCGAGAATCCGTCCTCCAGACCCAGAGCCACCGTGACCCCTGCCCCCGGGTCCCCGGGCACCAGGCCACCTAACAAGGAACCCCCTCCCAGTCTCTCTGCAAATACAATTAAAGGTCCTGCCCTCCCGTCTGCGTCTGTGTCCCTCGCTGGGAAGCCAGGAACAGGGTCAGGGATGCTCTCCCACCTCCTGGCAGTCAAACGGGTCACTTCAATGGGCGTCTTCATCCCCCTCCAAGAAGAGCCTGGGAAAATGCCCCCGGAGCTCTGGCCCGGGCACCACCCCGCAGCGCCCACGCCTGCCTTCCCTCCCGCCCAGGCAATCGGCCAGTGTCCTGCCTTGGCAGGCAGCCCCTGCCTGGCCGGGGCACCAACCCAGGAGGACTCTGGGAAGCAGACATTCTGGCCTCCCCACCTCACATTTCCATGTGCTGGGGAGTCCTAAAACCCCAGCTGTTCCCATAAATGGCCACGTCCTCGGAGGGAAGGCTCCCCTGGGGGAAGGTGCCTTGCATGTGCCTGACTCATGAGGGAGCAGAACTGGCCCCGTGGCCACCTCAAGCTCCTACCCCCGCCAGCTCCCTGTCCACTTACAGTATGCTCCAGCCAGGCCCCTTTGCCCCAGCCGGAGGAGGGCCCTAAATGCCGGAGCACGGCAGGAGCCAGAGCCGCCCCAGGAACTCCCTGCCAGGTGCTGCCCCGCCTGTGGCCCCCGCGCATGCCCTCACCCTGAGCCTCCCCTCAGGAGGCCAGTATGGATTTGAGGGAGTGTCATTTTGAGGAACACATTTTCATAGCTTTTATGTTTACTGTAGAAAATTTGTAAAATGCAGAAAACTTTAAAGAAATAAAAACCCTTTATGTTGATAAGAGAGCAGCACTGTGGACATGTTGGTGTCTGTCTTTCCAGGCGTTTTCCTCAGCCCATAGCTGGAATGGCTCACACTGTACTTAGTTGTGAATCCTTTTCCCCACTAGCAGGACCAGGTTTATTTTTCGAACATGTAAATGCCAAACCTAGAATCTGGCCAAATGGAAGTGGGTCCGTTTTCCACAGCCAGCCTGGCCCCCGCCAGACCCAACCCTATACCTGTCCCAATATTCTTTTTGCTCCCCCATTTTCAGCTGCCGTGTGTGTGTGTGTGTGTGTGTGTGTGTGTGTGTCTGTCTGTCTGTGTGTTTCACATAGATGTGGTTGTACAGCCTTGTTCCATGGGGCAGGATGTGGAGTTGAGGTATTTGGGATATGCAAGAGGGTGGAAGTTTACAATTACTTAGGGCAATGGAATTTATAAACATATTCTCTAAATAGTTCCAAACCTCTCCATCAATAGACTTAATTACCTCCTCCCCAGCCTGATGTTTTGAAAGCTCTTGGTCTGCCAGGCAGAGGTCATTGTCACATTACCCCTTTCCTATCTCCCTGATGAGGTTCATGCTGCTGTGAGTGTGTGTGGGCAGGGTTAGGGCACCGGCACTCGACACCCAAAGGCCTGAGCTGCAGAGGGAGGGCAAAGAAACATAACATTGTGGTCAGCCTGGCCAGCCTTGTCCACTGGGCCTTTTGAAATATTTAAATTGTTCAGACTCCCGTGGCTGTCTCCTTGGGTGATGGGGAGGAGGCCCCGTCTACCCGGGAGGTGGCAGAAGAGGAGGTGTTGACAGCAGTTAAGACAGGCCATTCCAGCGTTCAGCTTACTGGTGGCTCAAGTCTGAGCCCTTCGCTGTGCTGAGCCCGCCAGGCATCGGCCCCTGGGTGACCAGCCTTTTCTTTACCTTCGTGGGTCAAAGGTGGTTATGGTTGCTTGGCAGTTTCTCAACCCGCTCTCAACCCCCACAATTGACAGATGAATGGATAATGAAAACGTGACTACATATACAACAACGTGGATGGACTTGGAAGGCATTGTGTTAAATGAAATAAGTCAGAGAAAGACAAATACTCTATGATTTCACTTATATGTGGGATAATATTAAAAAAAAAAAAAAAAAAAACTTTTAAAGAGAACAAATGGAGTTGCCAGAAGTAGAAGCTGGGAGGAGGGGTGAAATGGGTCAAAAAGCCTAAACTTCCCGTTATAAGTCCTGGGATGTGATAATGTACACATGGTGACTGTCGTTCAAAAAAAAATACTGTTTTATTAATCACTGAAGCAGGAGGAGGGATTTAGTTTAACTGATTTTTCTGTTAAGTTTTAAATACATTTTTATCATAACAGGTCATAATTAGAGGGCTGTTTGGTCAGTTTCTCAGGTAATAATGTCAGCTTGTGTGAAGGGGTGTGAGGCTGTGGATACACTGGGCTGAGGATGGTGAATGAATGGGACATAGGAGGAGATAGTCTGGGTGTGGAGGAAAGTGAGTCTGGAGAAGGAATGATATGTAGCCCTGGCTGGTGTGGCTCAATTGGTTGCAGTATCATGCTGTACATCATCATGCTGTTCAATTCCAAGTCAAGGCACATGCCCAGATTGTAGGTTCAGTCCCTGGTCAGGGCATATGCAAGAGGCAACCAATAGATGGGCCAATAGATGGGAAGCAACTGATCTCTCTCTCTCTCTCTCTCTCTCTCTCGCTCTCGCTCTCGCTCTCGCTCTCGCTCTCGCTCTCGCTCTCGCTCTTCCCCCCCCCCACCTTCTCTTAAAGAAAAAAGAAGAGAAAAAAAAGAGCCCCGATTCTCCGCTTGGCTCTGTCACTAACGAGCTGTGTGAGCTAGGTCCTGTGTTCACCATTGTGGATCTCAGCCTTCTTACCTGTAAAATGGGTTTTAAACCAGAAGGTGGGTGGGGCTTTCCAGCTCGGACATTTCCTGGCTGACCCTCTAGCCCCTGATGTCACACTATGGAGCCAGATCATGACTGGCTTATAGCTCCTCCCAGCTTTGCTGTTCTCTTGGTCACGGACACAAGATGGACTTGCCTGGATCTTCCCTACTTGCCATGGCTCAGGAGTGAGGGTGAACAGAGCTCAGGTGGGGCATAAGATCAGACAAGGAGACCAGGCAGGGGCAGGCTGCTCCCAGGATGGTTTAATGCCCACTTCCTTCTCTGCAGACAAGCTCTACAATGAGACTGTGGCAAAGTCATTCCTGCAGTTGTATGAGCATATAACCAAGACTGTGTGGAACCAGTTCATGGAGGCCACCTGCAACTATGTCACCAGCATCACCAAGAAAAATCAAGAAGAGATGGGATAGCACTTGCAATCCCAGCCCCTTCTCCCCCCCTGTCCAGAGTTACAGGAAAGAGAGAAGTCCCCAGTCTCCATGCCCTTGGTGACACTAAACAATCTCTGGGAAAGAATCTCTCACTGCTTTCCTCTTGTAACCATTTCCTGCTTGCCTTTAGAGATCCAGACCTTCTCTCTTCTCCCTCTTACCAAATCTTCAATGATTCTGAACCCTTAAAGTGTGCCCTGGGGGGAGGTTGGAGGACTGTGGCCCTGGAGCTCAATGTGGGACCCTTACTCCCATGCCCCATCACTTCCCATGACAAATATGGTGACCCTCCTTCCAGCTGCACAAGGAGGAGAGATCCCAGCACATGCTGTGCTTTGGCACCCGGGCCTGTCTGTTTAAGAGCACCAGGTCCCAGGGCCCAACCGTGAAGCTCATGCTGAGTAAGCTGCAGAACAAGGCAAGGCAGCCCTGCCAGACAAGCTCCCAGGGGTGATGAGTGGAATCCCCAGGCCTCCAGGCACCTGCTCCCCACCCCAGCGGGTGATAGGCTGCCACTGGGGAGCCAGGGCAGGATTGAGGTTGGCAGGACAGGGTCAAAGCATCCTCTGGCGAGGAAGGAAGCAGAGGCTGCTGGGAAGATGCCTCAACCATCTAGTGGGGCAGGCCCATGGCTCAAGTTTGCTGGCCACAGCTTGGTTTGGGGCGACTATGAAGGGCCCTAGTCTGCATCATTCAGGTGGTGGTGGGTGAAAAAGGGCCCCTTCATGATTCCCAGTCCCATGTGTTTTCAACCCATTTATTTAATAAATAAAAATGCATTGTGTCCTCTGCAAGCTGGGTCCAGTTTTGATACCAGGCAGCATCCCCTGTTTTCTCCCCCAGGTCGAAGTATGAGGACCAGTGTCCCCATCCCTCGAACAGAGGATGAATTTGATCCGGTGCTGGATTTTCCACATCTCTGCCAATGTGCCCTACGTACGGTAAAGGTCTGGGCCCTGCCAGCCAGCTTGGGGATTGGAGGTTGGGGACATGAGGACCATCCAAGGACTCCCAAAAAGGCCCTGATCCAGATGTCCCCCTGCATCCCCTTCCATCTCTTACTATCAGGTTCCAAGCCCTCCGAGGGCCCGCCCTGGAACCCCTAGGGCTTTTATATCAGATCCTGTGTGGAGGATGGAGGAATATTCCTGTGTTGTCCCCGAGGGGAGGGCAGGAGAGAGAGAGGCAAGGGTTGGTTCAGAGGCTGAGGAGAGTCCTCGCAGTATCAGAGGGCCATCCTGCAGGGGGTGCCTACACCGGAGCTTTGGCTGCTGACTGGGATTTCATGGCCACTGCTGTTCCCATCAGTCAGAGGATACAGGTTTGGTGAGGTTAAACCTGGATCTACTGGTTTCAAGACCAGTGCTCCAACCACTGACATGGTCTTTTCCCCCCTTGATTTTCAACTGATTTCTAGAGGCCCATTTCCCTAATTGGTCAAGGTCATCTTGAGTTTTATTCCTGTCTCCCAGAGGATTAATAAAGCCACACATTTCGCATCCTTTGTAAACGTAATGAGCACATTTGTGACCCCACCATGCAGTTTGTCAGTAACCACTAGGCCAGATGGAGCTGCAGGACTGAGCCCCTGGCTTCACTCCCAGGCAGGGGTGCACCTTGCTCGCCTATTGTTTCCCTAGTCTATTTGCTTTTCCATCTTTTCACACTCCAGGGGTTTATTCCGGTCAATTGCACAGGTTGAATTCTGTTCTGAATGCACAGAACAGAAGGAGCTTCTCTGCCTTCATGTCTATGACTGCCCATCATTCATTCATTCGGCCAACATTTACTTGTGCATATGCCCACCAGCCTGCTCGGCAGCCAGCAGGGGGCAATGGGCCACAGGATAAATCAGTAACCATAATACAAGAAAGGAGCTGGTGTAGTAGGAAAGTGCTTTGGTGAACATGCAAAGAGGGTGAAGAGATGCCGGGGGACCAAGGAGAGATCTCTGTTCCCAAAAACAGTAATGCAAAAAGCAGCAGCCATTTGTTTTCAACACATCAACTCACTTTTAATTCTGAGCCTTCATCCCACTCGATTGGTGGCACATGGGACTCCATCTTTCTCACCACTTCCCTCCTCCACTCCACCCAGAGCACACAGGCTCCCAGGGTCAGACTAGGCACCCAAGCACGTAAAGGCCTTGCCACTCTTTGCTGATCTACTGTTTACTAGTCCTCATGCATGATTGTCCAGACTCCTGCTCAGGGAAGACCCTGATTTCCAGGTTTAGGCTTTTAAACACCATTTTCTGGGCAGAGGGCAAAGGAGAGGTCTCTGAGAAAAACGATGTCATGTGCTTTGAAGAGGAGAGATGATAGCAGAGTGGAATATGGGCTGTGGAGGGAGGAGTAAGTGAATGTTTGCATGAGAGAAGAATCAGGGCAAGATTTTTTTTTAATGGAGATAACACTGCCACCTTTTAAATATATTTATATATATTTAATTGATTTCATAGAGGAAGGGAGAGGGAGAGAGAGAAAAACATCAATGATGAGAACAAATCATTGATCAGCTGCCTCCTGCATGCCCCTTACCAAGGACTGAGCCCGCAACCCAGGCATGTGCCCTTGACCAGAATCAAACCTGGGACCTAACAGTCCACAGGTTGACGTTCTATCCATTGAGCCAAATTGGCTAGGGCAGGGCAAGATTCTTGGCTGCTCTTTTGCCTAATATATCTTAAAACTTGATTTTGGTATTTTTGACTCATCTTCCTAAATGTATTTACCCTGAGCCAGTCTCTGTTCTAGTTCTGCTGGGGATGGAGGGTCTAAAGGGACTTATTACAAATTTCCAAAGTCCCCCTGCCTCAGCCAGCCAGCCAGCCACGGTGGGCTTGACCTGGTCCATGGGGCCTGTGGCTGCCATCGTAGAGTTGAGAGCTCTGGGCAATACCCAATTGCCACCTTTGCAAGTCTCGGATGCTGCCCACTTAGGCCATCAGCTGGGCTTTGGCTCAAACCTCTTATTTCCCTCTCTCCCTGAAGGATTTTCTAAATAGGCATATTCTCAATGGTCTAGCCTGCCCTGCGCCAGCTCCTACCCTAAACCAAACCTGCTGTTGCATGACCTAACATGCTGCAGCCTCAGCCAAGCCCGTAGCCCACACCCCAGCACATGCCCCAGTTGCTTCCTTGTGTGCTGTCCAGCTAGATGCCAATCTGGCATCAGAGCACAGGATGGCATCTTGTATCCTGACCCCTGCAGGGAGACACTGCTGATCACCATAGGGTACGTAGCCCTATCTGTGCGATCTCCTCTTCTGCAGAGTCAGACATTCCTGTACAAACCCTTGGTGCCCAGTTCATGAGCACTGGGCTCTGTACACTGGCCAGCACATCTTTCTGCTGATCCTCTGGCCTGCCCTGTGTTGGCTGCATTATCTAGCCCCCCAAAGCTACTTGTCAGCCATCTGAGATGCAAGTAGCTTCATAAATGCCCACGGCCCTCCCTGCCCCAGTCCAAGCCCTCCCAAATGGAGCCAGTGGGTAGCTGGGCATCCAGCCACGCTTGATTAATGATTGACTTCTTGAATATTTAAACAAAGCTCATCTCCAGCCACTCGGTTTCAGAGATGGCCTTGTTGGACACACACACCTGCTGCCTGGTCTGTTGCCCTGGGGACTGAGCACAGGGCAAACAGCACCTTTCCAGATTCAGTGGAGGAGGGAACAACAGGGAGGGAATGCTGTTGGGGGACTCTAGGGACAAGCCTGGAAGAGAAGAAGAAGGCCTCTGCTCTTGACCCTTCTAGCCCATTCTTTCCAGCCTGGGTCTGCCTGCAATTGAGACAAACTGACTTTGGATGAGGCCCCCTGGGCTCCTGGGAAGGCTGAGAACCAGTTCCTATCAGAGATTAGGGAGTCTTGGGGGGAAGTAGCTTCACAGAGAGGAGGCACCAGGACCTCAGCTGAGCTGGTGGGATGGTGGCCAAAAGATGAGACTGGCTTTCTCTAGATTAAGAAGTCAGGGGCTGAGAGAGAAACATCGATGTGTGAGAGACACTTTGATTGATATCCTCCCACACTCTCTCCCTACCTACCAATCGACCTACCAGGGTGGGAATCAAGCCTGCAACTAAGATCTTGCTATATAGAAACAACCAGTTATGCCTTGTGATAAAAATCCAGAGCAACCCAATAGGAGTCACAGTAAAGATGAAAGGAGGAAAAATAAAACATGGAGAGAAGGAGAAGGAGAAAAGAAAGAAGAAATGGAAAAGGATGGAAAAGAGAAACTGGCAAAGGAACAGGAGGAAGAGAAGAAAGGAGAAAAAATAGAATGTGAGGAAGAATATCCGGAGAAAAGATTAGTCAATAAGCCCCTCATGGACACTCTCTGGGCAACGTTCAAGTTAAACAAGTGCCCCACAAAAGGACTTAGTCTGTCGCTTGCATTTGAATTTAACATGACAGAGAAACAGGTAAATCAATGGTTTTTTAAAAAGAGAAAGAAATTTAAACAAGAAATGTATAAGCGAAAATACAAGAGGAAACTCAAGAGAAAGAAACGTGATTGAAAGAAATTAAGAAGAGGACATCTGTATTTTTAATAGCATTGGGCAGTATATAGAATTTTTATATATTATTATTTATGTACGTTTATATGCATATATTCATTTATTGACTCACTTGATTATCACTCTAAACCACAAATGAGGAAACTGAACTGCTGGGAAATAATGTGATTTCATCAAGTACCAGTCCCTAAAACTCTAAGCTTGAATTTGTACTTTGTTCTCTCAGGCATTTTCATTCTAGGCTATGTCAATTTGTGTTTCTTATGTAATGTTTATGCACTCCTACTTTTCTCTATTAAAATTCTAATGTGGCCCTGGAAAAAAAAAAAAAAAGAAGAAGTCAGGGGCTGCCTGGCCTGAATGGCTTAGTGGTTGAGCGCTGACCTATGAACCAGAGGTCACGGTTTGATTCCCAGTCAGGGTACATGCCTGGGTTGCAGGCTCTAGTGCAGGAGGCAGTCGATCAATTGATTTCCTCTCATCATTGATGTTTCTATCTCTCTCTCTCCCTCTCCCTTCCTCTCTGAAATCAATTTTAAAAAATAATGTTTTTTAAAGAAGTCAGGGGCTCAGGGCACAGAGGTGCTGGTCTGAGTTTTCCATGGACCCTGCCTCTGCCCAGATTTCAAGAGGTCTTCCTAAGTTTTGACTGAACCCTCACACTCCTTGCTCAACAACAGGCTTCACAGCACCTTCATTTGATGTCTCTGTCACTATGTTGCTGAGTTGTAATGTCCTCATTTGTCCCCATTACTAGCTTTCAGCTCTATAGGGGCAGGGCACCTATCAGGACCGTACCCCCCTGTAACATTTGTAGCCAGCACCGACCATGGCACATAGTGGGGACTTGGAAAATGTTTGAATGATTGCATGAATGAGTATCCCACTGTCCTAGCCCTCCTCAGAATTCAGCGCCCCAAAAAGTGAGCCCATGAAAAACAGCCCTACCTTTCCTCCACAGCCACTCTGACTCCCCCCACACACACACAGACACACAGACAACTAAGACAACTCTGCCCTCTCCCCCGGAGGAGGCCACATTTGCAGCTCTCCCATCCCTCAGCCACTGTGGCCAGTGAGCCTCCCATCAGACACTGTGGCTCTGAGTGGCAAAGGCACACCATCCCAGGACTCCAAGCCTCTCACCTGGATTCCAGCAAAAACCTCACTAAGCCTCTTTGTCCATCTTCCCTTTCCCACTTGTTGTAGTTTATTTCACCGAAACATTTCCTTCATGTCTAACGATCTAAGAACTTGGTTGTCCATCAATTAAAGCTAGATGTTCAAAATGCCATCTGAGGATCTCTACCAGTCCCCTTTCCTCCAACCTCACCTCTCATAGCCCCTTGGCACTGATTGTATTATCAGCCTTTGCCATTTGAATGCTTGCCCTCCAAGGCCTGCCTCAAAACTGGTCAAAGCTCTAAGCCTGCCAAGGTGCTCAGGGAACAGTGGTCCCTTTCCCTCCCTCCTTTTTAAGAAGATTCTTACAACAAACCTCACCCCATTTTCTTCTAAGTGTACTCCTTTTCGATCGGTACCCAGACACACTTTTATCAGTGGTTACTTGCTAATCGGTGGTTTTAAATCTGCTCTCCTCGCAAGCAGCGCCTGGATGCTAAGAGCCCTCAGGCCTCAGAAGAAAGCTCCTAATTGTATTTGTGCCTTTCTGGTGTGCTCCTACCCTATCCCCCCAGGGCCGGGTCTCAGATGGACTTGCCACTAGGAGTTCTGCATGGGCATCGGGGATCGTTGGAGGGCACAGCAACAGGCATGCAAGAAGTCTAACCCGCACCGTTGCCAGGATCTGGCCCAGACCATCTGTGGCCTCTAACAACCTGTTCTGCCCGCGCCTTTCCCTGCCTGAGAGCCTCTCCCCAGCAAGACAACTCCCTACTGCCCTTTGATGTCGTGAGAGGTTCCTAGAGGGGCTGCGGCCACTGGAACAAGAGCGTGAGGTCTTCAAAGAAGCCCTGCCCCATTCCCGGAGCCGGACTCCCGCCCGGCTCCGCCCCCTAGGAGCCATGGCCCCGCCCTTGCCCCGTGGAGTCCGGGAGAAGTTGCCCCCGCCGCGGCCTCGCGGCTTGTTTCAGCACCGCGGCGCGGACAGCTCCCGGGCGGCAAGGAGGGGCGGAGGCGCGGCGAGCCTCGGGCCGGGAAGGGTCAGGGCGGGCAGCTACCGTGGCTGCAGGAGGGCGGGCGGGGCACCGAGGCCCAAGGCCCTCCTCGGGGGCGGCGCCGCTGAGAGCCAGGACAGGCGAAGGCACCGGGAGCCGAGGTTCCGGTGGCTCCGGGCAGAGGCCTCGGCGGCCAGAAGATGCCGGTCCGCAGGGGCCACGTCGCGCCCCAAAATACGTACCTGGACACCATCATCCGCAAGTTCGAGGGCCAAAGTGAGTGCGTGCGTCGGGGTGGGGGGACGATCTGGAGTTCTGCTGCCTTGGCGGCAGGAGCAGTCGGACCCCTTTGCTAACTTTGAGTGGAGCAGGGTGGGGGATACCGGATGCTGAGAGCAAAATTATTTGCTTTAATGTCCTCCCCCCCACACACACCATCTTCCCCAGCAGCCCCACTTACCTCAATGTCTGTCCTCTTCTCTTCTGGAGCACGAGTCAGCTCAGCCCACCCCACCCCTACCCCCTTCCACTGCGTTTTTTCTTGCCCTCAAGCCCTGACCTTCCCGTTCTATCAATGCCCAGCTTCCGCCTCTTTACACCATACCCGCCCCTGCCCACACACACACACACACACACACTTCCTCCAGAGGTTTCCTTGGTATTCTCCTTTTCACCGCCTGACCCTCGCCCCCCCCCCCCCCCCCGTCTTTCTAGGAGCTCCCCCAGGTCTGACCCCCAGGTCACACCCCTGCTCCCTCTTCCTGACCCTCTCCACTGTCTCCTGGAAGCCTTAGGCCTCCCTCCCACTTCACTGACCCCATTATTGCCCTGGTCTTCCCACAATCCCCAGGATGGACTGTCCTTCCCCCACTTCTCAGGTCACTGTTCCACTCCCTGCTTCTGATACCCTACCCCCCACCCCCATTACTCTCCCGCGCCCCCATGACTCAGGCCTCCTTGGTTTTCTCACCATCCTCAGGCCTGACCTCTCCTTCCCTCATTCTGGTCGCCGCTCTGCTCCCCCATCTAGATACCCCCTCACTGCTGCCAAGAGTCCCTATAATCTTTCCCTCCCTGACACCCATTGCCATGGGCTTCCCCCACCTCCTCCCTTCCACCCCAGGCCGAAAGTTCCTGATCGCCAATGCTCAGATGGAGAACTGCGCCATCATCTACTGCAACGATGGCTTCTGTGAGCTCTTTGGCTACTCGCGAGTGGAGGTGATGCAGCGGCCGTGCACCTGCGACTTCCTCACGGGCCCCAACACCCCCCGCAGCGCCATGACCCGCCTGGCGCAGGCCCTGCTGGGGGCCGAGGAGTGCAAGGTGGACATCCTCTACTACCGCAAGGACGGTGAGGTGCCCTCGGGCCACGGGTTCTTGGCCCCTGTCTTGTTCTGCCAGAGTGGCCTTGGGGAGGGCATGACCCTGGGACTAAGGGCTCGGATAAATCTTGTTTCCTGTCTGGGCCTCAGTTTCCTCGTCTGGGTGGGGAAGTGATGGGCATTGGATGTGATGCCTCTAGAGGTCCTTTTCAGAAACAGGACATCAGGCTGAGCCACTGACTGCCTCGTCCTAGTTCTGGGCAGAGCCTCCCGCTCTCCACCATCACCCCACCCCCCCACCATGTTCCCAGCCTCCTGGCTGCCCACTCTGTCACTGCCAGCCCCAGCTGTCAGGCAACTGGGATGGAAATTAGCTTTTCCTCATCTCTGTCTGCTCTGGGGATTAGGGGACGAGTCAAGGCCTTTGCGGCCAAGTAAGGCATGGTGGCTGCTGGATGGGAAAGAGGAGTGGGTCTGGCTCACCCAGCCCAGGCTCCTTGGAAAGAGAAGGTCCGGAGATTGGCCTGACCTAGAGGCTCATTGGGTTTGGGATGTCACTGCCAAAGGTACTGCAAGCAGACCAGAAGCATAGGGCAAGGCCCGGAGATAAAGACCTCTGCATCCTTTGAAACTCTTCCCCAGGACTTCTGAGCCCTATTGCATAAAGCATGGGGGCGGGGCGGGGGTGATGGGGGGGAACTAGGATCATAAAAGTCCCTTTGAAATTACAATACTTGGATCGGTGCCTCCCCTTTACTCCCCCCCCCCCCCCCCCCCCACACACACACTCACCTGGTTCTATTGTACATCAAAGTTACCTGGGGCTTGTTTTCCGAAACATACCTTCCCTGGAGGGAGGCTGACTCAGAAGTGTGAGGTGAGGCCCAAGCAGGTATATTTGGGAAAATCCCCCTGGTGGTTCGAATGTTCTGCTACGTTTGGGAACCACTGGCTTAGATCAATTCTTTCACGTCCTGGATGAAGAAGCTGAGGCTAAGAAAAAGAAGGGACTTGACAAGAATCCTGCTGCTGGGGTCCAACGTGGGGCTGCATTCCAGGTCTTCGGGTACTTTCCTA